CATATACGTATATACACAGTAGCTCTTTGTTAATAATAATTTTGAAAGATACTTGTTTTCTAAGAACTATGGTGACTGTTCAAAACTGATGCTAATAAAGTAATGCCGGTAATCAAAAACTAATATTAGAATCGGTATGTTCTTACCACCTTTTCTGTTCATGAGTCTATTTTTTGTTTAGATAAAACAATTTAAACATTTTATTTGAACTAAAACACTGTGGTAGAAAAACACAAGAAGTCATAACACTGGCAGGATGGACACAATGTGTGGGAGACTTACTTGTTTCTATTTACCTCAAAAAAATGATAAACCCAAATTTATCCTAAAAAAAAAAAAAAAAAAAAAATCAAGTTTCCATGTACGGAGGCTGCTGGAACACCCCACAAGAAGTCATAACAACTGAAACGAATGACTGAGAAAAAGCAACACACTTTCTCGGGAAGGATCTAGCAACAAGGTGGCATCACAATTCAGGTTCCAGTAAATCTTTAATTGTTGCCCATCCAGCACACTCCTGGCAACAAGGCGGAGCGCACTGTAATGCTATTGCAGCGCATACACCAGCGGACACCTACCCATTGCTCTAATGCAACAGCAGATCCACTTGCTAAAGGAGAGAGGTTCACCGATACTGCCTTTTGAAAAGGGGAAACTAATTCTTGCTCCTCATTGGGTTTTTAACATCCACGGCCACCTGTTTGCAGTTGGAGTAAGATTTCAGAGGCTTTGGGATAATGAGCATTTTTCTAATGAGTAATTTCTCCAGAGTTATTATAACAGATTCAGACTGAAGATAAATATCTTCTTTACGAAATCATGGCTACAGTCTCACTTGCCGTGTTTACTGTTAAAAGGGATATCACAAAACCATAAAGCCTCAAATGCAGCTACCTTAGCAATAAGGAGACCAGCACTCAAAAGGTATTTTAAAGGTCACTGTTCCAGCATCTTACATACACCATCTTTTTTTCTTTTTCTTCTTGCCTATCTGATGATTATTTTTTTTCCTCTTGGCAAAGGTAAAAACAAAACAATGCCCAGCAAAAGGGTATAAACGCAAATGATGCAAATCACAGGTTCTCCTGCAGCAGCTCGAAAACCCGACCTGAGAGCCGCCTGGAGAACTTTCCCCCTCTTTGCGTCAGCTGCCCGCAGCCTTCCCCGCGCCGAGAGCGGGCAGCGGCGCTCAGGGTAGCGGGCTGGATGAGTAATGATGTCAGTCCGACCGGACAACGGTAACCCTGGCAACTGTAACCTGCAATTCCTGCCTAACCATTGTGGGATTTATTGTGGCAGGGGCCAAAGAGGCCAAGAGTAAAATGAAGCAGAGAACTATGGTGTCTGACACATCTAGTACCACACACTTTAATCATAGCTGGCAGAAATTAATTCAGGAGGAATTTTGGCAAGGGCCCCCCATGCAGTACGTTTTGTTGTTGTTGTTGCTGCTTTTCTGGCCTAAGATTTTTTTTATTAAGGTTTTTTTTTGATTGTTTAGTATTTTTTCCTTTAATTATAAGCTGTTCAGAGTTTGGTTTTTTTTTAAGTGACTAAGACATCTCAAAACTGTTTATTAGTTAAGATTTTTTTTTTTTTTTTTACTTTAGAGGAGAAATACCTTATTCACAATGTGTATGTATCTTCTCAAGTACATATATTAGAAGGAAGATGTATCTAATACTGGACCACATCCACTAAAAAGATTGTTTTTTCAAAGCCGCTATTGCCTAACTTATACCGCAAATACTGGTCAGTAAGGAAACTTAACCTCATTCCAAGCACAAGAAATCTAAATCAAAAGGGACAGGCTTTGTGCATGGAATTCAATAACCTTTACGTGCCACTGATTAATAAAGGTATCTTTTAAAACTGATTTTTCAAACAGCTTTGGGTCCAGCACTTGGTATCCTGCAGCAAACGGCGATCAATGAACTGTGATCTAACCAGCCAAAGTAAGCAGTCAAAATCTATTTGCCTCAAATATGCACTCGCTAGGCTGTAGGAGTTCTCGGTACTAAGGTACCATCGCCCATGCTCGACAAGTCAGTGTGAGCGGGCACACGGGTCACTGAAAACAACGCATTCCCTTCTTGCGGGGAAAATACTTGCTGAACAAGGGCTTATATTGCCCCAGGGAATTTACAACAGCACCTTTATTTTAACAGTACTGGATCAAAACAGAGGTTCATGTACATTTTGCTTTGAAAGATACCTTGCAAGGCAAGATTAATATACCCTACAGCGCTACTCATACTTTTTTTTAGCATTAACTACTTCCTGTTGAAATATTTATGTCAAAACACCTTTGCAGATAACACTTAATGGGAAAAATCAGTTTCTGCTTTGACTAAAATTATCCATTTTAACCAGTTCCAGGAGATTTCTTGGAAGGCTGCTAGATCTGAAAGAAAGTAACCTGAAAAATAATTTGTTTAATTACCTTTGAAAAAATCGAGTGTCTTTAGACACAGAAAATAATGCACTGTCTCTTTTAAATTCTCAACCTATAGTTTTCCTTTACTTACACTTCCCATCTGTCAACAAGTGCTTGTAATTTTATTACACTGTCCTGTAGTTTATGCAGAGTTGGTATTATTTTACAGAGTTCTGTTAATGGACTGGATAAATGGTAATGCTATTTAAACTAGTCTCCTGCTCCAGCAAACACAGCTGCAACTGTACTACTATTTCTAGGCAAACATCTTGACCTGAACACGCAGTGCTCTCTCAACCCGTCCAAAGAGAAATTGGAGCAGACAGCAAAGGGAAAGCATAGCCGGCCGCTGGCGGCAACCAACTGTGTCTAATCATAATTCATATACAGTGTACCCTCTTTCTTTTATATTGCATTTAGGCTACACAACAAGCATATGTGCTTCTTCACCTGGCATCTCATTTACAGCCAAGGGTCAAATGGTAATTATTATTCACAGAAGCTCAATAGTATGTTGAAAACTCGCAGTACACACACTGGTTGATTAGCTGTTAAATGCCAAAAATAAATACTAAAACCCAAAGCATATTATACGTTTTATTGATCACGTTATAGAGAACTTTAATTGTCCTTAAAAATATAGTTATTTGGATGTAAATACATATAAGCATATACAATGATACACGTGAAAAACCAAATCATTCTATATGCTTCACAGTGATCAAGCTACTTACAACCTGAAAAGTGACCAAGAACATTTAACTACCATCAATCCCATTGCTGGCCTGACTTTTTTTTAATCACAAATTTAGCGTTAAGCAACTGTATTTTTAGTATCGCTCATATTTTTTTTTTTAAACATGAATACATTATAACCAGACATTCACTTTCATGGTCTGATCAACAATAACCCTTAGGCAGAGGAAATTTAATACTGTGAAGCCAGTGATCTCTTACTTTCCACCATATATGCTATGAGCAGTTGTGTGCTTTATGTCAAAGTACATTATAGATTTAAGACTAGAATCTATCAAATACACAATTCTGAATTAAATGTATTCAAGTATGGTTTTGCCTGAAGTGTGCATCCATTTTTTGCCTGCAAATTACGGCTCATTTCTATTTCATATGAATTTAGGTAACAACCATTACACTATAGGTAGAATAATAAAATGACCATAAATCCCTTTCATCTTTTTTCTGATGGAAGTAATATCATGGCTGATGGAAATTATAAAGGAGACTCAATTGTTAATATATAAAACCACATATGAATATATTATAATATTATAGTAGAGTAAAATATTTTTGTTTGTCAGAACAAAAGCCTTCAGGAGCTTTCTGGCCTAGTAATTTAACAACTCATTGCATCTACAGGGAAGTTCTGGTAACAAAACATACATCCAAAGCAAAGGGAAGAAACAAAAATACACAAAACTAAATGTTTACACTAATAGAGTCATTTTCAGTTTACCATTTCATATTATTGTGAGAAAGGAAAAAAAGAGCTACTATTTCACAACATTAAAACAGAAATCAAGTAAAAGGAAAAGTGGAAACAAATCAGAGAAATCCGATTTTTCTCCACCTTCACTCTTTTTTTTTTTCCCCGAGCTCACAAAGGGTGAAACTGCATAAAATCAGCAATTTCAACAGCAGAAATCACATCTGAAGTCTAAAGAAATGTGTCAAATATGTATCTAATTAAAACAAGGCCAAATTTGTACCACCTTTTCAAAGCCTACTTAAGCATGCCATGATGTATCCCTTCCACACCACATACTGTAACTTAAAGGTACCTTAAAATTTATTTTGTTACTAAAACTGATCATGTAGATAAACACAGAAATCAGTATCTAAACTTCATTCCATGCTTTTACTGTAAGAGAAATAAGCAGATTCTTAAAAGGACCAATGGGTCAAAGCATTGATTTTATAACATTGCTAAGAGTAAAACATAGCAAACCAAAGAATACAATCAAAATAAAAACTCATTACCCAATTTGATATAGTTTTTATTCAAGGTAAAACATTTCAGATTTTTTTTCTTCTCAGAGTTTAAGTTACTACCTTTGTTTTTCTTTGTGAGGGGACACAGGAGAGACTTCCCCACAGACCTACCATTTGCCAACATTATGATTTTTTTCTGATCAAGTGCGTACAGCCACAAAACCAGAACATACAAAACCAAAGTGCTTATACAGTGCTATATCTCTGGGTCAGAATCTCCACAGGTGTTTTTTTAACTTCTTTTAACACAGAAACCAAGAAACAAACAGAAGAGAAGGAAAGCCAAAGTATTCTTCCAGCAAAACTTCATTACAGAATTGGGAATGGATGAAACAAAATTTGGCTCATACAACTATCAGTATCTAACCTAGGTTTTTAAAAAAAAGAAATATTGCAAAGCAGCCAAAGAAAGTACTCAGCTTAAACAAAACGTCAATGTTCCTAGATGCATTTTAGCCCTCTTTGAGGCAAAAGGCAAAAAACCTAATGCAAGACAGAGTAACAGACCAATTCCGAGTTTTCCAGAATAAGTTATTGCATTGTGCCTACTTACAGCCTGTATAACTTCGGCGTCCCCAGAAAGAGCAGTTCAGAAAGCAACTGGAGGTTATTTCTGTTTAGGCGCCTTTAGAAAGAAAAAGAAAAGGTTGTGTTAGATTACAAGTGCTACAGCAATGCAATGCAACCACTTTGAGCAGGCATCCCAGTGCTGTAACAAGCTGATTTGAAAGACCAGAAAGGCTACGCAGCGCTGGTCCATTAGCGGAGACATGGTCCAGCAGTAAATTTACCATGGACTAATTACATTTTCTGGTTTCCCCAACAGACCATATTACCTATTTTATGAAAGATTTTTGAATCTCTGTAGTGTGAATCAATCGCTAAATCCGGACTCTATCCTGCATAAACAACCAGAAAACTAAAAATACAAAATGAGCAGTGTAACTTCAATTCCCCACCAACTCCGTCTCCCTCTTTGTATAATGAAGCAGACAGACATTTTGTGAACATGAAAAGGTTCAACAGAACCGTTAACAAATGCATACATTTAGTTAAGTCTTGAGATAATGTATCTAGAGATCCATATAACTTATTTAAATGAAAAAGCAAAAGAAGCTGTTACACAAACCCTGATCAAATAAAAGTCAGAAAAATCAAAAAGTCCCAGCTTATATTTGGCATTACAGAGTTAGTGTTTTGGGGGCTTTTTTGTATACATTTTTTTTTCTCTATAGATGTAAAGGTACATCAAAAGGAAGTTAAATTTAAAAAAAAAAAAAAAAAACAAAAAAAAACCCACAGTCATTGTACATACGACAGCACAAAAGAAAAGCTGCAACTGTAATCTGAAAGGTACCCATTTGTCTATGAAGTTTCTCACTGAACATACTGACCAGGCTAAATATTGCTTAGTTTGAGGTGACAAGTTCAAAGCCCACCGTATTATAGCCATAGGCAACAGAACAGCTACTAACAGAGATAAATATATTTTGTCTTCATGATCCTTTTTTAAACATACAATGAAGATTATTCTTTCTAATGCATATAAGTGACAGTCCTGGAGCATATAGTCATACCAGTCAAGAATTCAAGCTCAAAACAGGTTTTTGGTTGTTTAAGCAATGCACCACACATGCTGCCTGCCATTCAAGCAAAATCACATACTGAGAAAACTGTTTTTTCCCATCAACCTCATCACAAGTCCCAGTTTGCAATGCACAGGGCTTCTCAACACAATAATTCAAGGCATTCCAGGACACCAAACTGCATGGCATTAGCTGATTTTTATTTTATCCTTACAGTGGTTACATTACATATGTCAGTAGACTGCTACCATGACATTCCACAAAGTGAAAAAATATATTGGACAGCAGTTTTGCAAAATTAAGTTTTAGAATTTCATAAGGATTCAGAATTTCTTGTTTGTTAGTCTTAGGGCTGAATTCAAACAGTTAAGCCTGTTTAGCCTCTCAGGGTTCTTTTTTTCATAAACATTGCTTCACCTAAAGGTCCTTCCAATTTTAAGGTTTTTCCATAAATGCCCATATAGATACATATACTTACACACTCAAGACCCAGTTTTACATAGCTCCATGGTTTAGTTCACTTAGTTATTGCTCCCTTGAAGTTCAATGTGACTACTGATGAGAGCAAAATAATCTGAGAAATATTCTTACACACCCACAGGTTTGCTCCCACATTTCAAACCATATGCAAGCAGTCAGCTTTTTGAGATCTAGACATCTATAATACTCCAGTTTTAACATCAGGTTCCTTTTTGTTAGTCAAGCACCAGGAATACTAATTTGTTTAAGCAGAAGAAATTTAAATCACACATTTAGGAGATTAAAAGAGCATTTAGAGTGAAAGAAAAAGATCCTGAAAAGGAAGGACTATAATACTGGGGTAAGTGAGATCAGTGAAGATGCAGTTTAATAAGAAAAAAGAAAAATACTTAATCGAGCAATAACAAAAAATCTGAATTGTGGTCTTGCAAGTCATATTTCCAAATCAGTAGAAGGAAAATTTTCAATATAAAAGAAAGATAGAGCTATAAAGAAGTTAATAACTAGTGGAAGACTTCAGATTTGAACATTGCTTAAAAAGGAAACCTTACCTACATAAAAACACAAACGTGGTATTTTAGTGTTTGTGGATCTACTGGTCAAAATAAGATCATTTAAAAATAGACATTTTCTTACCTTTAGTGAATTTACATATAAGAGTACATACTAAGACCACAAAACTGAAGTAGTAAGAAAAAAATTGTTTCAAAGTAAGTTACGTTTGTGATCAGAAAAGAATAAAGTGGAAATGGAATTCTTAGACACTGAACCTGACTAAATGGTTAAATAAGAAGAGAAATAAAACGCATTCATCCCCTCTGTTTGCTAAATAGATAGTTCAGACTTAAACCTCTAAGTCCATGATTACCAATTAAAATGTACATGTGAAAACATGCAGGGTAAAGACTTTGGGAAGTTAAGTCTCTAATCAGGACAAAAATTTCTGTTGATATTTCTTAAGGACTCTGTTAGGTTCAGATACCAGACAATAGTGGCAAGCTGTAACTGAAGGGGCACTGAAATCACTGAGTACCTGTATTTTTGTAGACGTTCCATATAATAACAAAAAAGGCACTATAGTACAATGACATAATATTAACTGGTGATAGAGTTCTTCAGGCAGGCTGCCTTTCACTAAATGCAACAGCATTCTTACAAGGACACAATTACCATCACTTTAGAAGGACACTTCACAGGCGAAATACTTGTGCTAGTACATAACTCCCTATGCAAGCAGTTAATACCTTAGATCAGGAGTTTCCATTACTACCTGTAGCTCTCATGGCCCACACAACTGACTAAACTGTTAACATACTGATGCACGTGCTGCTGTACGGACTTTAAAATCTAAGTTACAGACAACAAATCAAGTTCATGAATTAACCTAACAATAAATAGCACTACCCTCATGACTCAACAGTTTCTACCAAGTGAGCTTGGCACTTAGTGCTTCAACCTACATTTTTACTTTGCCTTTCACAAAATTAAAGCATTTTTTCTTTGAGCATTAAGCAAATTGAGGGAATACACAAGTTAAATAAATTACTGATCTTTAATGAATCCTGTATTCTGTAGCTTCTACTTTGAATAATTTCATCCCACTCATTGGAGTTTTTTAGAACTAAGCTTTCTCTACCAAAAATCTAACCATTCCTCATCACCTGCGCCTAAGAACATCAAACATTACTAATTTTCATTTAGACAACAATGGGAAATATGGCCTTTATCATACGTCAGAAAGAGGTTTCAGCTACACTTTAGACCTAACAAGTTATAACAGATGCTTTCAAAGGGGTCAATTTGCTGTTCTTAAGTTTCCTACAAGGAGATTTTATGAACTGGACTTCACTGAAACACATTTTTCAAGACTATAATAGATAGTTCTGTTTAAAAAAATGCTATGAATTCACACCATAAGTGAATGTGAAAAAGGATGCCGGGCAATCTGGAATACACAAACTAGTATCACAGTACACAACAGCTTCCAGTTCAACAGTCGCTATGAGATATTTTCAATCTTTGAGACAGAGCCACACGAAGAGTCCAGAAAACACATTCCTATTTTAAAACTGTTCATTAATATACCTGCTTCTCCAATATTTCCACTTTTTCAGGTGACCTCATGCTTAATTTTGTCTGAAATAGCAATACCTATCCAGAACACGCAGACAATGGAACAAGAGTGAGACAGGCATGATCTCCTTTCTCCCTGGAGCTGAAACCTGAGGGAAGCACAGATGGATCACAGAACCCGTAACTATAGATTGCAAAGAACTACAGCTACTGCAGAGTAAAAACAACCATAAAAACTCCACCATCTTTTCTTTCAATGTGTGTTGGCAGAGACCTCACTCTAGCTAGCTAGCTAGCAGGCAGCGTTTCCCCTGGGACAGCGTGAAAAGAGTTCAGCTGCGTCAACTGAACTGTTCTCCCAGAACTGGCATGAAGTTCAAGGTGAAACACTAAAGAAATAGCGATGAGATATTCCATACTGCTACCGTTCAGTTTCCCAAACAAGCTAGGAAAATTTATATTTCTCAAGCAAAAGCAGTGAGCTCAGAAGAGATGAAGTGTTAGTGGTATAAACAACAAAAAATGTACTGGAGAATCTCTTCTAACATTGAAATACCTTGAACTGTAACATTCCTTGGTAGTGGCCAGAAATAAATGGATGAGGGTCCCACACCATATAATTCTTTCGATTTAATGAAACTGAGGAACAGTTGCAACTAAAATATGTATAACTACTTCTGTTACTGAATGCATCTTTAGGAAGAGATTGGACAAACTGACAGACTGGCACAGGTAAATTTTGGAGCTCTTCATGAGGAATTCAAGCTAAGTCCCCGTAATACCTAAAGTACACAAGGTATTTTAAATACTTCAGCTTAAAGCTCCCACAGCTCAGTCTTCTAAAAACAGTGAAGACTAGAAAAGCATCTTCAAAGTGAAATGATAGAAGAAGTATACAGAAGGATTCATTTATGGACAAAGAAGGAAAATCTTTGACACAGGAACAGTTGAAAATACTCTTTAAAGGAAGGTCAATACCCGTAAGCAGATAAAAAGTAGGTACAGACAAGCAATGGGTTGCACTGTGAAGCAGAAAACAGTAAGGTAAGCAAAAAAATTCATTGGATTTGAGTTACTGGTTCTAGAGAACCAGCTAGCTTTGCAGAAATGGGTATACATCTGGGTTTTTACTCGTCTGCATGCAGCCAGAGGATTTGTAGAGGATGACAGAGTTAGAGGTAAACTGCAGGGAGAGCACATTATGCTCACAGTGACACATATCCTAAACCATGGAAGTCTGGCCATGCCACCAATCCATTCTGATGTCTCTCTCAAGTTTTAATGCCACAACAAATGTGATTCAGTATCAACCACGCACAGGGGAGGAAGGGAGAAAAAAAAAAAAATCTTAATTACACTGTCTGCAATGTAATCGTCTGCAATTGCTGTAATTCATGAGCAGGTCTGTATTTGTTTCCCAGACTTGTTACAACCTTCACTGTAACTTGCTTCTGATCCCACTGTAATCAGCTACACACCGCCAGAA